AGAAGGGATCGAGTTCCAGGCAGAGTGGACAGCTGGGGCAAGGTCTGGGCCAGGTGGGTCAGAGGGGCTGCGAGGAGGCCAGGGCAGCTGGGGAGAGTGGGGAGGGAGGGCCCGATGCCGGGCTGGGGGGATGTCATCGCTGCAGTGAAGGAGGGACGCTGGCTGGCCCTTTGGGCACTCGGTTGGCGCTGATACGGGACCGTCTGTACACGGTTTGTGGGACCACATGCTTCTGCTCTGGGAGCCGCAGATCTTGAGCTGGATGACAGTAGCTGTCCCTCTAGAGCGGCAGGGGCTGTTCTGGTGAGGACCTTTGTCCCCACATCCTGCCAGACGACAGGTCTATTAGATGACCCAAATCTAGAAAAATGGCCTCTGAATTTGTAGCTCCCTTTAAAGGGGTGCAGCTCGGGGTACCTGGGGGGCTCAGTCGTTAAGCGTCTGCCTTTGGCTCAGGTCATGATCCCAGGATCCTGGGATCCAGCCCCGCATCTGTCTCCCTGCTCAGCCCCTTGCCTGCTTCTCCCTCTCCCTCTCCCTGTGGCTCCCCTGCTTGTGCTCTCTGTCTCTCTCGGTCTAATAAATAAATGAAATCTTAAAAAAATAAAGGGGTGCAATCCTTTCATTTGAGAGATGTTTTCTTTGTCTTGCTCCCAGATTTTAAAACTGTGGCATAGGGCAGTGATGAAGAGTTTGGAGTTAAGGACCCAAAGGGACTCCGTTTACAATCCCATCCCCACCTCTGACTAGCTGTGCTTCTGGGCAAACCTCTTCCTCTCTCAGAGCCTCGCGTTTGTCCTCTGCAAAAGGGGAGTGTGCCCCCCGCCCCCTGCCCCACAGTAACGCGCTGTCATAACACAGCTTCACAGCGACGCCCGCCCAAGAGTCTGTGTGGGGCAGAGGGAGTCCTGCAGACGGAGAGGGTGACCCCCAATTCTGGGAGAGGAAGGGAACAGGACGGCCTTCTGAGCAAGTGGAACGGCCCGGCAGGCCTGGCGTCCGCGGGGGAGTGAATGGAGGGCAGCTCAGCTGGGCTGTGTAGGGCCCAGAATCGTGGACTGGATCCTCCAGCCCAACAATTTTTTTTTAAGGTGACCCAAAGCAAAGGGATGCATGTTAGAGCACGACCCTGTCTGAACCCAGTTGTGCGACTGTAACTGAAACCAAAAGTTCACGAAAAGCGCCGTCATTACGCACAAAATGCTGCAAGGTTCTATTTTTTTAAATTGCTTATCCTCACCATGTAAATTGATTTCAGACTCCTTCCTGGGTCTCCTCTGGGGTGGGGGGCACCGCAGCAGGGTCAGTCAGCAAGGTGGTCTGTGGTTCCCTGGGGAGCAGCTCCAGGCAGCTCTCTGCCTGGGGTGGGGGTGCGGGGTGGGGTGCTGGGAGGGGAATCCAGATTCCAGAGCAGGGCTGCAGTGCGGGGTGCCCTGTATAGGGGGTGAGGAGGGCAGATGGGGGGGGCATCCTTTCTACACCCAGCCAAGTTCTTTGATTGTGAATCCCTCCCCCCCAGGGACTTGGCATGGGGTCCCTGGGCCAGGGTAGGACTGGGGCCCCTCCCTACCGCTCTCAAGACCGTAGTGCAAGTGGCCACAGATTCAAAAAGTGGGCAGTAGACAAAATCTTTCCCAACAAGGGCAACAGATAAGGAGTAAGCAGGGAGAGCAGGAGGAGGCCGCTGCTGGGGGGAGGGTTCTCTCTGCTTGCTATGCTGGCCACCCCGCAGGGAAGCCTGACGCCCCAGGCTTGGGTCTGCACCCCAGGGAGTCCCCCATTCCCCCTTCCCCCGTGTCCGGCCCAGGGCCAAGGTAGACAGGCTGTCCTGTGGAGGCCACCCCAGGCCGCATGTGCCCTGCCCTGTGGGCCTGGTACTTTCTAGGCAGAAGGGCCAGTCTGGCGTTTGCTTTTCTAGATTCAGCGAGGACTTGGGACTCCTCTAACTTCCTTGCCCCTTTTTTGTCACTGGGGAAAGGCAGCCTGGCCCCTCCCTGGAACTGCCCTTTGCGTTCTCCCAGCTCCTCCCGCTCCCTTCTCTCCCTCTCCTACCCGTGCTGGAAAGAGCAGGTGCTGGGGCAGGTGGGAGATCCTGCCTCTCCACTCCCCGCCCCTCCTCAGGGCTGCCCCATCTCTGCCCGCCCTCCACACGGCCACCTCTAGGCTCTTCGCCCTCTCGGGCAGGAGGATCTGCAAGTTGAACGAATTCATCTCCCCGCAGAAAACAAGCCAGGCTCCTGGCAATGCTTTCCTCCCTGTGCCTGTCCTGGCCTAGGCTGTGCCAAGGACTCACCCGCCTCCCAGAGAATTATCCGAAGAGCAAGTTCCTGTTGCTTCTGTAGTCCTTTTGGGTCTTTTGTCTTGGGGACATGTCCGCTGGCACCTGGAGAGAAAGCCAAGCCAGGCTGGGCTCTCCCAGCCCCTGTGCCTTATGGTCACTCACGTCAGAACCAACTCCTGGTTCTTCATAGCGCCTGCCAGAGTGGAAGGCTGGATGTGGTACAGGCCGGAGGCGGGGTCTGGGACCTGTATGAGAATAAAGGGTCAGGGCCCTCTTCCCCTCTCCCCCTAGACCCCTTTCCCACATATCAGCTGGGTGGAGACGGGAGAGGGAGGGAGTGGGAAGAGGTGCTGTGGACAGCTGGCCCTGTCTCTGGGGCCTTGCAGGGTTTGCAGTGGACCCCCTCAGACACGCTCGTAGGTCACTGGGGTGTGCCAGACGGCCTCCCATGCCCCTCCCCGCCCCAGGAATCCAAGTCGCCGCCCACCCCCCCTCCTCAGTCCTCCTCTCTGGGCCATGTGCTCCTCTTCGAGGCCCACGGGCAGAATCTAAGAAGATCCCCAGGCCAGCTCACTCTGCTCTGGCCCACCTTGTTCCACAGGGTACAGGCGCCCTTGACCTGAACAAGGGACAAATCATACAGCCGCCACCAGGTGCAAGATGGACACCAGCCACTGCACCAGCCCTGTGCACTTGGGGGGGCAACCTGCAAGGTTTGCGAGGGTCCCACCAGAGCCCCTCTGGGTCTGGGGTGAGAAGCAGGTGTCTGAAGTGGGGGGAGGGGAGAGCCCTCCTTGCCAGCCCTGGTGTGGCCACTTTCCTGGTGGTTTTGGCCAGGTTCCCACCTCCCGACCCCCAGCAGGGAGGACTGGCCTCCTGCAGAGCCAAACGGAGAATGCAGCTAGAAGTCAGAGGGGTCCTGAGCTGAGTCTGGAGGTCTGGGTAGGAGTCCCAGCCGGAGGGGCGTGCAGAGGTAGCTGCAGCGTGGGAAGTGGCCCTTTGGGGGCGGTGGGGAGCATGGCCACGGCCTGCATGCAGCATGGCCTTGCTGGGCGGGCAAACCAGGTCTGTCTCAACCCTCTGGCCCCTTGTCCTTACCTGGGATGATGCCATGACCCCTTCCTCCGCCTGCCGCGCCTCTGCCCTGGCTGCCATGTGTCAGGGGAGCTTCGGGCCTGAATCAGAGCTCCTCCTTCTCACGACAGTACAGAGCGTTGTCATTAAACCACAACGGCAACCCCACTGGCGCGCCGGGTGACACCAAGGACCCGTGAGATCCTTCCCGCCCCGCTCAGTGGAGGAGAACCCTGGGTCCCAGCCCAGGGGCTTCTCCAGGTGCGACCTCTGTCATAGTCATGCAGGACAGCGAAGCCGGTCCCCCCAGTCCCCTGGACATCCAGCCCGGTCCCTGGAGCTGTCACTGCCTTTCGCTCTTTGGTGGAGGGGCGAACTCTTCAGTAACTCAGCACGAAGCTCAAAATAACCACGCGGTGGGAGCTCCGAGGGACTGGCTGGTTGAGAGGACCCCCTCTGTCTTGTCCCCAAGTCTTCCAGAGGCCCTGGCCTCACCTCCCCTGGGGACCCAGCGCCGGGCTCAGCGGAAGAGCCCAGAGACCAGTCCAGTCTGGCCTCATGCCAGCCCCACACCCCGGTGCCCCGGGGGCCCACACCTTGCCCTGCCCCCGCAAAGTACACCTGGCCGGCCCTCTGAGCCCTCTGAGTCACTCCAATGTGTGATCTTCTCCCGATGAACAGCCAGGCCGGCGTGATCTTGGCTGCTTCCTGCCGACCTCAGTTTAGAACTGTCTGTTCGGCTGCTGGAGAAGGAAGGGGCTAGGGGACGAGGCAAGCTGAAGCGGCGGGGGCTTGTGTGCTGACGTCTGGGGGTGCGAGGGGACCCCCGCTGCTCGGGCCCAGAGCCTGCGGGAGGGTGGGAGGCCCAGCCCGGCAGGTGCCAGTGTTTTCCTCGGAGCCTGTGATGAGGAGGGGTGTCCAGGTGTCCGGGAAGGAGGCTCGCACAGACACCTGCCTTTGTAACGGTCATCAGACATCCTGGTCGTGGCCCAAATGGCTCCCTCTGTGCTGCTGGAAAGCTGCTCTCGGGGCATTTTTTGTTACTGTCCATAGAAACTTGACAAATGCTTCTCCGAGCTCTGATTCAGGGCAAGGCTCTTCTCTCCTGATGGCTGGCATGGCTCCTCCTACAGGCTGGGGAGAACCCTGGCTCCCCTCCAGGGGTCCACTGCCGGGAAGCTCTTCTTCCTGCCAGGGAGCATTTCTTTGTCTTGTCTCCTGCCTCCCTCCTCTTTACTTCTCATTCTCCAGCAGCTCTGGGTCTTCTCAGGCTGGTGCTTTTATCCAATGTGGCTTCTTGGCCTTTGATCAGGAGAGCAGTTAGGGCTGTGGGGTCTGGAGTCTGCCCGCCTTGGGCAGGGTTGTAGCTCCACGCCATCCCTGCTGAGAGAGTGAAAGCTAGCAGTTTGACCTGCCTGACCCTCGGACTCTTCCTCTCTGTGAAGTGGAGCTCTTACACACTTCACCTTGGGTGTGTCGGGAGATGGAGAATTCTATGTGTGAGACACTTGGCACAACGCCCGCACACAGCGCCTGCATGAACAGTGTGAGTGTGAGCATGAGCTGAGGTCCTTGGGAGGAGGTAGAAAGGACTGAAGCGACCCAGAGGGTAAGCTCCCACTCTTTCCTTTCTCTTCCCCTGCAGGAGGGCAGTCCGTGACCCCAATTGGTGCCCCCATTTTGGTCTCTCTGGCCAACAAGACCATTTCCTTCGACTGCAGAATCACGTACCCGGACAGCCCCAAATTCAGGGACTTCACAACCTGGTACTTTCACGTGGACCTCCAGAAACGGGAGAGCCTCAAGGAGCAGATGAAATGCTCACCCGACCTGGCCAAAGAGAACCAGACGCACACCCTGCAATGCCGGGTCACCCCCACGCTGCCCAACGCGTCGGCCACTGGTACCTACTACTGCTCCGTGGACTGGCAGGACTTGAAAATAATTAGCCAAGGCGTCTTCATCCTGGTCAGAGGTGAGGCTTCCTGCAGGGTCCAGAGGGTTCCCCTGCTTGCGTTCCTTCTCTCGCTGTGTCTCTCTCTGTCAAATAAATAAATAAAATCTTACACAAAAGACATTGGGAGATGAAGAGAAGGGAGTTGGGGGAAATCAGAGGGGGAGACGAACCATGAGAGACTGTGGACTCTGAGAAACAAACTGAGGGTTTTGGGGGTGTGGGGGCTGGGGTGAGCCTGGTGGTGGGTATTCAGGAGGGCACGTATTGCATGGAGCACTGGGTGTGGTGCACAAACAATGAATTTTGGAACACTGAAAAAAAATTTTAAAAAGAGAAAGAAACATGGAGATCACTACAAAAAAAATTAACAAGAAATAAACCAACAAATAAATAAATAAAGCTGTCTCATTGATCAAGGGGATTATCTGTCTCATTGATCAGCTTGGGTAAAAGGCAACCGTGTCCTCAGGGAGCCCCTGACCACGCAGGTGTGCCGATGTCTACCTTGATTTGGGAAGGACAGAAGCCTGGGTCGTGGCTGTGCCTCCGGCCACCTCTGGCAGGTGCCCGAGAGAAGTCCCTGGCGTGCTGGTCTCAGCATCGCTGCGGCACCAAGTGTGTGTGGGGGGGTAGGAGGGTGTCGGAGGCTGAGTACACGATTGGGCTCATGCATGTGTGTGTCTGTGGCAGCACTTGGCTCAAGTAGGTATTTCTGGGAAAGGTTCCTAGTTTCATCACATCCCCGAAGGAGTGATGACTGAAAATTATCATCGGCAAAGCCGTGAGGCTCTGACCTGCGTCCATGCTTCCCACCAGGAGCGGCGGGGGTTCGGGGAGCTGGCTGGCCCGGCTGTGGCTCTGGGCCCGGGCTTTGTGGCAACACCCTGCCCATCGAGGGCTTTTATGAGGATGAACGGGATCCTGCGTGCAAGGGCTGGTGTCTGCTACTAGGAAATGTTTGATTAATAACAGACACGGACGCACCTGGCACGTGGTTGGCGCCCGGCCCTTTCTGCCGGCAGATGGTGGGAGGGAAGGAGGGAGGAAGGGAGGGAGGCATAAAAGGAGGGATGGCCCAAGGGAAGGGGCCGGGCTGGGCCCTTCACCTGCCCCTGGTGAAGGCCAGTCGCCTGCTAGGCCCAGGCCACCCCCGCTACCGCCCCATCACACCTGTCCCCGTGGCCGCCGTTCCTCATGCGGAGCACAGAAGGCCTCGAGAGATGGTGCAACTCGCCCAGGGTCCCACAGGGAGCTCTTGGGGGAGCCGATTCACCCCGAGGCAGGTGACTCAAGAAGCAAAAGATGGGTTCCTTGCCCTTGACAAGAATCAAGGCTGCCAACCTAGAAAGGGGCGTGGCCAAAGCCAGCGTGGGAATGAGAACCTTGCTGGCCGCGGGGGTCTGGGGGGCTCGTGGTGGGGGAGTGCTGACAGTGGCGTCCTGGGTAAAGGAGAACATAGGAGTGGGGAGCCTGGGGGTTGGGGGGGGGGGTGTACCCCTGCCTCTCTCGGGGGACTAACCCTCTGCTTCCCTGCCCTCCTCCCAGACGCAGGGTACCGAGCCCCCGCGCAGGACTCCCGGCTGCTCCTGCTCTCCAGCTTCACGGGCCTCCTGACCGCGTTGAGTGTCTTGGTCACAGCCCTGCTGCTCTGGAAGAAGGTAGGGGACCCGCACACATGGCAGTGCTGCCCGTCCGGGCCCTTCGCTGTGGCTCCGGGAGCTTCCCGAGGAGCGGAGGGGCTGCCCGCCCGCCCCGCACGGCGTCCCAGGGGCCCTGGTGAGGGCTGCCGGCCAGAGTCTTCCTTGTGGCCTCCCTGCACCCGGACCCCTCCTCACTCACCTCCATAGTTGGGCCCGGGGTGCCCTCTTGCCAAGGCCAGGTCCCCTTGGATCTCGCACAAAACCAGGGTCCACCCGCCTTTTCTAGGTCACAGGTCCTCCCGGGTGTTTCGTTGCAAGGCTCAGGCCCCATTTCTGGCTCTTTTGAGTCGGAAACACTGTCCCGGTTTTTCCGGATCCCCAGCACGCCGGAAGGGAGGAGGAAGCGTTTCCTAACAGCCGCTGTCTACCAGGCACCCTTACCCTCCCCTCTGCGTCCCACCGTAGCTCTGCGAGGGATGTTTCTTCCCATTTTACAACTCTGGAAAGTGAGGCCCAGAGAGATGGTGGCTCGCCCGAGATCTCCCGGCAAGCCTGTGGCAGGGGCGGGGGCTGGAATGGCAGGTGGATGGGGTGTTTGGTCCAGGTCTGCGCCCGGCTGACTCCTGTTCGGGCTGTGGTGGCACCAACACAGGGAGGGTTGTCTCCCCCGTGGGCTCTTGTCACTCTCCTTGTCACCCAGTCCTGGGGGCCTGGTTCCGTAAGTGCCCTGAGGACAGAGGCTGCAGTGAGTTTGTCTCCGTGGCTCTGTGTAGGCCCTCGCGTGCTCAGTAGATGTTTCTTGGGCGGTAGAATGCCTTCCCAGTGGGTGCCAGGTTCTGCCCAGCTCAGGGCAGGGCGAGGGGGGGCAAAGAGGGTGGTCAGGGCCCCAGCTTGCAATTCGGACCCTCTGTCCTGGCTCCTTGAAGGCCTGCATCAGAACAGCTCGGGCCTGTGCTCTGCCCTCTCCGGACCAGGAACTCCCCGATTCCTTGCCTGCCTTCGGGGGCAAGTCTGGGGAGCAGCCCCATCAGCGAAGGCCCTGAGTGTGGGAAGAGGGTTCTGCACCACCATGGGGGATTCTCGGGTCAAGAGAGGCTCAGCCCCTGCACCCTGCCGCTCCCCATCCACACCCAGGGAAGGGCCCCCTGAGACGGGATTTCATGCATTCGCTCATTCAACCCACATGAGGACCTACTCGATTCCAGGCCCCGTGGAGGCCCCAGGGCCATAGCAATGACTAAAATGGTCCCCAAGAAATCCCTGCCTGCGTCAGATTTGCATTCCAGCTGAGGGGAGGCAGACCCTAAACAAACAGAGAAATAAATAGCCTAACGGATGTGATGAGTGTTGGGGGAGAACACAGCGAAACAGAGAGTAGTGAGTGTGGGAAGGAGGGAGATTGTGGTTTTCAGTAAGGAGCTGGGGAGGGCCTCCCCCCACCGCACCCGGAAGGAAGAGGGGCGGGCAGATGTCAGGAAGAGTGTGTGCAACAGGGGAACCACAGGTATGGGGTGCTCTGAGGCAGGAGCTGCAGGGAGGCCCCGGGGTGGGCCGGGCCGCCTGAGTTCAGGGGGGAGGGGGGAGGCCATGTAGGTCAGGCAAGGCACATTGACTGGGTTTACTCTAAGTGAACTGGGAAGGCCCCGCAGGACGTCAGGAGACGTGGGGCAGGATCAGACTGACCCCGATGGACCCTCCGGCAGCTGTGAGAAGCAGGGGAGGGGAGACTCGGTGAGGAGCTACTGCAGCAGTCCAGGCAGAGGCGACCGAGGTGGGACGAGGGTGGCTTCTGGGGAAGTGGCGAGCGAGGCAGGTTGGAGGCTTGGACCCCGGCCCCAGTTTCCCACTTTGCCTCGGGCTGGAGACATGGTCACTCTCCAGAAAAGGCTCCAAGGTGATAAAAGAAGGTGAACATGGCCACTTGGCCGTCCCTAAAACTCTGGAGGCTGCCTTTCCTGCCATCTGGGAGCCAGAGCCTGGTGAGGACTTCAGCCACCGTTCTAGTTCCTCTGCTGTCCTGTGATCCGCAGGTGTGGGGCATGACCCTGGCGTGACCAGTTCCTAATCTGGCTCATCCGGCCGACAAGCCACAGGAGTCCACTCCGTTCCACCCAGGAGCAGGCTCTGCTATGAGGTCCCCGGGGAGGCGAGGACCCCTCCGAGGGCCCTTGGCCCCCTGCCTCTGGCCTGGCCACAGGGACAACTGAGCAGGGAAGAAGGAAGACGATGGGAAATGCTTCCCTGGGCCTCCCATGAATCCTGCATTTAGGAGAGAGGCCCACCCACCACTAGGCCCTTTCTCTCCTTCAACCAACATGTGCTGAGCCCCTACTGTGCGCCCAGCTCGGCTCTTATCCCCAGTATATTCCTTCCCCCACCCCCGCTGCTCTTCCCATGATGGCAGCAGATAGGACAGCTCTGGACTTGTCACTCAGCAAACATCAGCTGAGCGTCTAGTGGGACGTGGGTGTGGACACAGAGGCTGTGTGTCGGGCAGGGGCGATGAAGGACCCCCACTCGGGCTGTGGACCCCCATGCCAGCTTGTATGAGAGACTGCACGGGTGCCTTCTGCAGGCAGGAAGCCCAGCAGGTGAGGGTCAGAACCGAGTCAGGGCGAGACCTTGACCCTGAGCCTCCACTCCAGCCGCTGCTCTGCAAAAACTGGATTGTAATGGGTGGAGCTCGGGGTCCTGCCAGGTCAGGGAGGCACCCGGAGCAGAGTCAGTGGTCAGTAAAGTCCGGGGAAGAGGGGAGTTGGGGGTAAGACTCAGCCCGGCCCCACTGCCGAGCCCAGCCCCTCCCCCTCCTGTGCGGCTTCAACCACTCCTAGCCTCTCTCTCCTTCCAGGAATAGCTCCCGAGTATCTAGAACGTGCCAGGCACCAGGCTGAGTGCCAGACACAGTGGAAAGCAAGACAGAGGCAGCCCCTGCCTCTCACCAAGCTGCAGCCCTCTCCGAGCCTTGCTCTCTTCCTCCAGCAGCAGGGATGAGGATGGATCCCGCCTCACCTGGGAAGGGTGGAAGGGAGCATTTTGGAGACACCAGCTGGGGCGCCTGACCCACAGTGGGAGGGCGGCATGGAGATGCCTCCTGGCCTCCCTCCCTGCACGTGGGGGAGGAAGGGCTGGTGCAGGAGCCTGGCCTTGAAGGAGAGAGAAATTAGAAGGCCAGAGGCCAGAGATGTCCCCAGAGCTCCCTGGAACTGGATCCAAATTTGAGGTGCGGGGTCTGTGGCTGCCATTCCAGCGTGGCCGACCCCGTAGCCCTGCCCCTCACAGGCAAGCGTGGTTTGAACTGAGTGAAAGAACAGAGCATGGGGCGGGGGGTGGGGAGGCGGGGGACCCCAGCCAGTGGCCAGGCCAGGCAGTCAGCCATGGGGGCCAAGAGGAGAAGGCCAGGCAGGAGGGGAGGCACAGAGGACCCTAGGAGCCCAGGTGGCTGCAGATAAATGAATCGAAGCCGGAGCTTGGCCCAGAAAAGGCAGATGATTCCTGCCATGAGAGCAACCAGAGGGCTCCCCACCCCAGCCTGGGGATGGATCAAGGCTGGCTTCCCAGGGCAGGCAGCCTCTGACTTTGATGGCCTGTCTGTCCTCATCCCCTAAGGGTACCCTCCTCCACTGCATACATCTTCCCTTGCTTCCTGGACCCGCAGGGCAGCCCTGTGCGGATCACTTGGGCTTTGCGGTCCCTACACAGGGCAAGTCTCTGGCCCCTTCCTTGGAGCACTCCCCGCTCTGTCTACGCGGATGCTGCCCGGGCCCCTCCCCGAGCCCCAGAGCCCGTCCACGGTGTGAGCCCCGTGGCATCCGCACCCACGGCTCCTGACACCACTCTGTAGCTCCCAAGCCTGTCCTGCCCAGGCAGATGGCACCGTGCCCCCGGACGCTCAGGCCAGAAGCCTCCGAGCTGGGTGTGGCTCCTCCCTCATCCTCCGCAGCAAGCCCTGCCCACAGTCTGTGTAGGATCCGGCCCCTTCTCTCCTGCCTCAGCCCCCAGCCCAGGGCTTCCCTCACTCACTCCTTACCCGAATACAGGTCTCCCTGTCCCACTCATGTCCCCTCCAGCTCTGCTCTCCATACCTGTGCTTATGTATTTGTCACTGTTTCCTCCACCATAACGTAAGCCCCAGAAGGCAGGGACTTAGTCTCCCTGCTTGTTGGGGGCTGGGTAGCCTGACACACATCAAGTGCTCGTGGGAGGGATGGCTTAGTTAAGAGAGCGCTGAGACTTGGAAGATGAGTCACAGCTGGCCAGGCTGTGAGGTGGACTCCCCTAGTACAGAGGGGGAAACTGAGGCTCTACAGGTTTCCAGAGCTGCAGGTGGCCACATGGATTGGTTTGTTCGTTTGCAGATCACAGTTGGAAGGGCAAATGCAAGTGGCAGGGAACAAGGCACATGGGGAGGGCAAGGGTGGTTCCAAGGGGCCGAGCGTCTAGCCCCTGCAACAAAAGGCACTCATCTGATTTTTTGAGAGGGTCACCCCCCGTGGGCCACAGCCCGGGCCTCCTCTCCCTGCCACTGCACCACCCCTGGAGATCTGCCTCCTCCTCTTGCCGCCCCTCCCAGCTCGTAGCCAAATGCAGGTCTTGCTAAATCTGATGGCTTCCCTGCCCTCCGAGGGAGGACACGGTGGATCACGCTTTCTGTGGCAGTGCCCTCCTCGCCAGCCTCCCGGCTCAGCTGCTGTCACCTTTTACTCCCATCGGTGGCTTTCTATGTGATGGTCCATCCTTGAGGATGTCCCTGATGTGTGACATTTCTGCCCCCATATGAGCTGGTGTCTTGTCTCCGTGGCCTGTGGCCTGCAATACTTTCTCAGACTCTTCTGTTTTCAGGAAATAGGGCAAGCGCTCAGAAGACTGCCCCAGACCTGTGGCAGTCGTGGGGTTCCTTCCCACAGCCCCACAGTGACACTTACCTCCCGGCAACCCCACCAGTGTCAGTAGGAGCCACGAGGCGGGGCCTGGGTGTTACTCACCACGGGGTCCAGAGGAGCCCCTGCCCATGAGCTCACACCCACCAGCCTTGACAGTGTCCGGGCCACCAGGCTCAGTGCGGGGGAGAAGCACCAGCCCCCCAGCCATCTTGAGGTGAGCCATAGCCTCTGACTGTGACAGACGCCTCCAGAAGCAGGTGGTGCAGGGGAGGGACACTAGATTTGGAAGAAGACAGCTGGGTTCCATCCAAAGGCAGCCCTCCGACTAGCTGGCCAGGCCTCAGTTTACCCCTCTGTAAAGTCTACTTCCTCAGGCTATGAAGAGAATTAAATGAGACTAAGAACGTGTCTCATGGGTTTTTTGTACACGGTAAAGTGCCACGTGGAGGCCAGCACCTATCTAACGGGCTCTGTGGCCTCAGGCAAGTTTCTTGCCCTTTCTGAGCCTTCTCGTCCTCAAGTGTAGACCAGAGATGGTGTGAAGACTTGCCTTGCAGGTTTGTGGAGAAGTGCATGAGAGGGTTTGGAGAGAGCCCTGGCTGGCATCCGGAGAGGCCCCCTCTCCTGGGCCCCGATCAGGCTGTGACCGGGGTGGTTCTGGCTTCTGCCTGACGGTGAAGTAGCTCGGGAGAGCTAATCCTGCGAGCACAGGCAGGGGATGGGCAGGCGGCCAGGAGTTTTTAATTAGCCCCGGCCCCGCCATGAGGCTGTCATGGCTCTGCGGTTGGCAGAGCGGTGCCTGCGAGGAGGGGCATGTCTGGGTGGCCTCCCTCTGCCTCGGAAGGAGCTGCCTGTCTCCCGGAGCCCGGTGCCTCCCCACGGGCCCAGCACCCCTGCCTCTGTGGCCAGCGTGAGCTTCCTGACACTCGCCTCTCCTGGCCTCTCCTGCGTGAAGCTCGGCTGCTTTCTGCCATCCACACTGTCAGCTGGGTCCCCCTGTCTGGGGAGGTCCCCCCACCTCCCCTCGTTGACCCTCTTTAGGTCAACGTTTAGGTCCCCCCCCAGTTGACCCTCTTTAGGTTCCTCCATTCCTTTAGGTCTTGGCACACTCTTTTTCCTCTCCCTACCCTCCCTCTCTTGCCAAAGGAGTTTCTCAGCCTTTAAGTTTGTTTTTTTTTTTAAGATTTTATTTATTTATTTGACAGACAGAGATCACACAGGCAGAGAGGCAGGCAGAGAGAGAGAGAGAGGAGGAAGCAGGCTCCCCGCTGAGCAGAGAGCCCGACATGGGGCTCGATCCCAGGAACCCCGAGATCACGACCCGAGCGGAAGGCAGAGGCTTTAGCCCACTGAGCCACCCAGGCACCCCAGCCTTTAAGTTTTAAACACCCCTTTCTGGGGCGCCTGGGTGGCTCAGTCAGTTAAGCGACTGCCTTCGGCTCAGGTCACGATCCCGGGGTTCTGGGATCGAGTCCTGCGTCGGGCTCCCTGCTCAGCAGGGAGTCTGTTCCTCCCTCTCCCTCTGCCCACTCAAGCTCCTGCTCTCTCTCTCTCTCTCTCAAATAAATAAATAAAGGGGCGCCTGGGCCTGCTTCCTCCTCTCTCTCTCTCTCTGCCTGCCTCTCTGCCTACTTGTGATCTCTGTCTGTCAAATAAATAAATAAAATCTTTAAAAAATATAAATAAATAAATAAATAAATAAATAAACACCTCTTTCTGCCAGGTGAGGCATTTGTCCCCCAGAGTGTGCCAGGGGCTCTGTCCTCTCAGTCAGCACATGGACCACACTTTAGTCAAATGGGGTTCATCGTCCATCTCCCCATTAGGTCCTCAGTCCCAGGAAGGCAGGGCCGGTGTCCACCTCTTCACAGCACCTGGCTGGCCAGAGGTGGCTGACAAGGGTGTGTTGGTCGGCCAAGGGCCACCTCATGCCACCTGAGCGCCAAGCACTTACCCCTTCCTCCCCTCCCTGAATCCTTGCGACAACCCCACGAAGGAAGGTTCTGGCTGAAGAAAGTGAGGCCCAGGAAGGGGAAGGGGCAGAGGGGACTGGACATCTGATCTGGCTGGCACTCGCTCAGGACAACCCCTAATGGTCAGCTCTGCTGCCGGGGACCCTGTCACCCTGGCCCCATGTCACCGTGACCGTGACCCACCATGGACAATCCCACCTCCGGTCTGTGCAGACAGATGAGTGGCATGATGTGGGTCTCAGAGGCATTTGCCGCGCATCCTTGGGGACGGTGGGGACGCAGTGCTGAGTGGCCCCCTGCCAACCGGCCATTCTCTGCCCTGGGGGGTCTGTGGGGTGGGAGCCGCCCATTCCCGGCTCTGACCGCCCTGACTCCTTTCCTCACAGAAACGGAGGCAGACTCCTCGGAAGCAGCCCGCCCAGAAGGGCTCGGACCCAGGCGCCCGCAGCCAGCAGCAGCCTCTGGATGAGTCTGTCTACACGGTGAGTCTCAGGGCTGGGCTCCCTGCTGGGTCAGGTCCCAGCGGTGTGAAACTCCGAGCCTCCCGTTTCTTGTTTGTAAACTGGGGACAAGCATTCCCACCTGGTGGAATTTCTATGAAGATGAACACATGTGTGGCCCCTGGCCCCCCGCAGGCACGCAAGTGCCCCCAGGCCCCCTTCCCTGGATCGCCCCTCCACTTCTGGAACAAGGGGCGGCGAGGGATGACGGAAGTTTCTCCATCCGACCTAATGATGTTGAGCAGCTCACCAGCCCCTTCCTGTTTTGATTACACAAGCAACATCACAGCAACAACAAAACATCACAGAAAGAGGAAAAGGTCAGGCACCATCACGAGCCCTAACACACTCGATGCTTCTCAATTCTTCACACCTCCCTCCCCCCACACGCAGACCTTGTTTTCTATCCTTTTTTTTTTAAATATTTTATTTATTTATTTGACAGAGATCACAAGTAGGCAGAGAGACAGGCAGAGAGAGAGGGAGAAGCAGGCTCCCCACTGAGCAGAGAGCCCGATGCGGGGCTCGATCCCAGGACCCTGAGATCATGACCTGAGCTGAAGGCAGAGGCTTAACCCACTGAGCCACCCAGGTGCCCCCTTGTTTTCTATCCTTAAACTCAAGCAGAGACAGGGGCCTGGGATGCCAGGTCATAAGCATTTCCTGTCGCTGCACCTGTCTTGGTGTTTACCTGGGGGAGGCTCAGCCCGGTGCGCTGGGTGTGAGCCCGCCCACTGGCCGGGACACGGCCCCTTGGCCCAGCGGCTGCGAGGGGGACAAACATTCTTTTCCAGTTCTATTTTAGTTCTGCAAGGAGCGTGCACTCACTGTAGAGAAGGTGAAGAATGAATGCCACCCCGTGTCAGCTGGGGTCTTAACTCCGTGAGATCTAGAATCAACAGGTTAGGAACTGGGCTCTTCACCTGGCAGGTGCCAAGTCTTGCTGGGGACGTGTGCGTTCCCCAGGGGCGCGTTCGAGGGCTCCCCCGCGTGAGGGTTCTGCCTGTCTGTGCTGTCACTGTTCCTGTCCTCACCACCCAGACATACATGAAACTTGAGTCCACACACAGGGCATACGGGGTATGGGTGTTTACTGAGGGTGGGGACCGATGGGGAGGAGGCAAAGGGACAGTCGCTATAACACCAAAAACTCCAAACAGATCATAACGCGCGGCCAGCCCTCAGACAACCTTCCCCTCCGTCCCTGGGAATTTCCACCAGCCACTGCTTCCCACGTGGCCTCAGACTTCCCCATATTCCCTCTTCTCTCCCAGCAACTCATGGTATTTTTCATGTGAGGACTTGTGGTGTCAGCTGTTGAATAAAAACATTTCTCTCTCTCTCTCTCTCTCCACAAACACACATGGGCACACACGTGAGATATCTCTCTCTCTCTCTATATATATATATATACACACACATATATATAATATGGGATATAGACAGATATATATATGTATATATATGTATAACTATAGATATATAGATAGATCGATCTATCTATATCACATATTATATATATACATATACATATGCATATATATAAAGAAAATAACCATCATCCTAAGCCTATCTTCTTCCAGGATAAATACTAGTAACATTGACTTCTATACCTTCCAGTCTTTTTTCTATAAATACGCACAAAAAGACCCATACACACACTCACACACACTTTTTTTTTCTTTTTGGAGTAGTACAGCTATTTTTGTTCATGTTACAATATCTCACGAGCATCTTTCTACATGAATAAATACCCTTCTACAAGAGCACTTTTTTTAAAAGATTTTATTTATTTATTTGATGGAGAGAGAGAGAGAGATCACAAGTAGGCTGAGAGGCAGGTAGAGGGGGAGGAGGAAGCAGGCTCCCTGCCGAGCAGAGAGCCCGATCCCGAGCGGGGCTCAATCCCAGGACCCTGAGATCATGACCTGAGCTAAAGGCAGAGGCTTAACCCACTGAGCCACCCAGGTGCCCCTACAAGAGCATATATTTTTTAAAAGATTTTATTTATTTGACAGAGAGAGATAGTGAGAGAGGGAACACAGGCTGGGGGAGTGGAGAGTGAGAAGCAAGCTTCCCACTGAGCAGGGAGCCTGATGTAGGGCTCGATCCCAGGATGCTGGGATCATGACCCAAGCCAAAGGCAGATGCCTAACGACTGAGCCACCCAGGCACCCCTACAAGAGCGTATTTTAATGGAAGAGACTCACTTCTGCTTGGAACATCTTTCCCGCGTGTGTTTAGACTTCTCTGAGGCTCGGGCAGACTCCTGTGGAATGTGGGGAAAAGGCTTGACTTCCCTGAAGAGTTAAAGGGCAGCTTTAAGAGATCCCGAGACAAGAAAGGAGGCACAAAGGGAACAGTTAAGAATAACATTAATGACAGAGATGATGGCATCAGGAGGCTTTGTCAAGTTCCTGCGACGTGCCAGGCACTGCGGTAGGAGTCTACACCTGTTACCTCATTGATACTCATATTAGGGATTGAGGATACAACTATCATTCCCAGTTCAAGTTTATTTTCTGGTTGTCTATTGCTGGTATGTAGGCATATGACTGGTTTTTGTATATTGACTTTATATGGAGTGACCTTGTTGAATTCATTCATTAATCCTAATAGGTCTCTGCAAATCCCTTTGGATTTTCTATGAACCCAGTCTATTCACGTCATCCATGAATAAGGGAAGTCTCATTTCTTCTTTTCCAATCCTCATGCTTTTATTTCTTTTCTCTTCCTTTCTCTCACTGCCTCAGACCTCCAGTCTGACGATGAGTAGGAAGGGTGACAGCATCCTTGTCTTGTTCCCAGCCTCCAGAAAAGGGTTTTTGTATCTTCTACCTCTACTTTCTTTGGAAGGATCCTTGGATCATTGATTTTTCTATCTTTCTTCTTTTTGAATCTGTGCATCAAAGGCTATGAACGTCCCTTTAACTACAGCTTTAGCTGCACCCCACAAGTTTTGGTACATCCTCTTTTCACCAACTTTCAGTTTAAATTTTCTGTTGAGAGTTCCTCCTTGCCCCCGTGGGTTGTTTAAAAGTATTTTGCTTCATTTTCAAATGTTTAATTACTTTTTAGTCATTGTTCTGCTTTTTATTTCTTGCTAATTCCACTATGATCAGAAAATATATTCAGTATGATTTTAACCCTTTGAAGTCTTGAAACTTGCTTTGTGGCTCAGTGTGTATTTCGTGCACACTTGCAAAAAGCTTGCACTGGGCATGGCTGACTAAATGTTCTATGTATATCAATTAGGTCAAGGTTGTTTTTTTTTTAAGATTTTATATATTGATTTGAGAGAGAGAAGGAGAGAGCATGAGCAGAGGGAAGGGGGCAGAGTAAGAGGGGGAAGCAGACTCCGCTGAGCAGGGAGCCTGATCCGTGCCTTGACCCCAGGACCCAGGATGCTGAGATCATTACCTGAGCCAAAGGCAGATGCTTAACTGACTGAGCTACCAGGTGCCAGTCAACTAGGTCAAGTTTGTTGATCATGTTGTTTAAAATATTTCATTCCCTTACTGATTTTTTTTTGATCAATCAGGTATTAAGAGAAGTGAGTTAAGTCTGTCCATATGATTACAGATTTGTTTATTTCTCCTTCTAGTTGTGTCAGATTTTACTTTTTATTCATATGGGAAAATGATCATGACATATTGTGACATGAAAAAAAGTTGTGTCACTCTAATTTGTTTTTTAAACGTGATCTATTAAGGAGCATGGATTTGTGGTGGGTCAAACAGACTGGGGTTCAAAGCCTTGTTCTGTTGCTCACAGATTCTGTTACTTAAATTTTCTGAGTCTTGGCTCCATAATCTGTAAAATAGGGCTTAACAATAGAATATTGCATTCACAACTTGCAAACATGCTACAATTTCTTCCATCCTGTATTTCTCGAGCCCACATCCCTCTCCAGGGACCCTGACCTTTCTCCACAACTCATAAGAGAAATGTCATAACTCGCTGTCTTCAGCTTTTCTCTCTCCTTTCTGACCCATTCAGTTGGGCTTTCTGCCCATTCAGTTGGGCTTTCTGTCCACGTATTCATCAAAATCTGCTCTCTCAAGGTCACCTTCGACCTCCACATTGTTAAATCCAACAGTCAGTTCCTGGCCCTCATCTTCTTTGATGGATCAGCAGCATCTGACACTATCAACCTCTCTCTCCTCCTTGATGCACTTTCTTTACTTGTTTCTGGAATATTCCACACCCTCCTGATGCCCCTGCGCCCGATTCACCACCAGGCCTCCTTAGCTTCCTTCAACTGGTTCTAGGAACCAATGGAACTCTGACCTCCAAACACTGGAGTCCAGTCCTGGGACCCTTCCTCTTTGACCTCCATCCCTTCCCTGGGGATCTCATTCAACCTCAAGGTTTGAGACCATCAATATTTTGACAACTCCCACATTTCTGTCTCCAGCCAGACACATCCTCTGAACACCAGAGTCATTCCATTCAAGTCACTGGCTTCACTCTCAGACCTGCCTCCAATTCTTTACCCACCAAGGGGCCTCTACTCATAGTCCCCATTGCAAGGGACTGACTGCTCCATCCTTCTAGTTGCTCAGGCCAAGCATCTGAAGTGGTCCTTTCCTTCCCTCTATCGCTACTCACATCTGATCTGCCGGCACAACTTTTTTTTTTTTTTTTTTCCCAAAACATATCCCTTCCCACCCCTCCCCACCCTTCCAGCCCTAACACTGGTGGGAGCCACCCCAGACGTTTCTTGCCTGGAGTCCTGCAATTTATTTCTGATCAGCTGGCCTTCTTTTTTTTTTTTTTTTTAAGATTTTATTTATTTATTTGAGAGAGAGAAAGAGCATGAGCAGGGGCAGAGAGAGAAGCAGACTCCCCACTGAGCAGGGAGCCCAACATGGGGCTCGATCCCAGGACTCTAAGATCATGACCTGAGCTGAAAGCAGTCACTTAACTGACTGAGCCACCCAGGCACCCCTGGCCTATTTTTTTTTTTAAAGATTTACTTACTGGGCACCTGGGTTAAGCCTCTGCCTTCAGCTCAGGTCATGATCACAGAGTCCTGGGATTGAGTCCCACATCGGGCTCTCTGCTCAGCCGGGTGCCTGCTTCCCCTCCCCTCTCTGTCTCTCTGCCTACTTGTGATCTTTCTCTCTGTCAAATAAATAAATAAATAAAATCTTAAAAAAAAAAAAGATTTACTTATTTGAGAGACAGAGAGAGCAAGAGAGCAAGAGAGCAAGTACGGGGAGGGGCAGAGGGAGAGAGAGAAACTTTAGCAGACTCTGTGCTGAACATGGAGCTGGATGAAGGGCTTGATCTCACAACCCTGCGATCCGGACCTGAGCCGAAACGGAGTCGGATGCTTAACTGACTGCGCCACGCCGCCCCGCCCCCCCCTTCGCTGGCTTATTATTACCCTTGCCCTTGGGCAGCAGCCAGAGTGACTTTGCTCGACCACAGACTATGTTCAGTCTGCTCAGAGCACTTGCTGAGTCCTGGTCCTCCGAGAAGCAGCCACCAAGCTGGGGCAAGCCTGACATGGTCTAATAAGGGAAACCACTCAGGAGAGGAAACGGGGAAGGCTAGGTGAGCTGTCGGACCAAAACAGAGCTGGTCCTGAGTAAGGAAAGTGGGAAGGACGGCCCCGAGGCCACACTGTGCAGGAAAGGCTCAACAAGGCCGAGGAGTGCCCACGGCAGAGTCGTCTTCTGTCCCCCGGGGCAGGGGGCCGCGCTGCCATGCCCACTGTGCACAGGGCTTCTGGCCTCCAGGGACCCATGATGATGGGTTCCAGAGCCCAGCAGCTGGGACCTCTGGTCCGTCCTGGTTCCTGCCGCTGGAGCTCTGGGAGCATTCTTGCAACAGCTCAGGCCTCTGAAGGTCCCCGCCTCACTCAGAGTCCACATCAGAGCCCCAACAGAGCTCCCAGGGCTCCCCGCACCCCACCCCCATTTCCCCCTGTTATCTGCTGGCGCCCGTCACCCTGGCTTCCTCACTGTTCCAGCAGCACCAGGCGTGTCCTCACCGTGGGGCCTTGGTGTCAGCCTCGCCCTTTGCTTGGCACCAACCTTTGCTCAGCACAGTGGTCCGTGGGGCTGCCTGCTCACTCCTCGATGCTCCGCTCCGAAGGCGCCGTTGCAGGGAGGTCTTTCCTGAGCTCCCCTTTAAAAGGGAGAACTTCGGGAGGCTCAGCGGGTTAAGCCACTGCCTTCAGCTCAGGTCATGATCCCAGGGTTCTGGGATGGAGCCCCACATCGGGCTCCTTGTCCAGCAGGGAGCCTGCTTCTCTCTCTGCCTCTGCCTGCCTCTCTGCCTGCTTGTGCTCTCTCTCTGGCAAATAAATAAAACCTTAAAATAAATAAATAAATAAATAAATAAATAAAAAAAAGGCGAGCTTCCCACCCCCTCAGGACCCAAACCGCCCTGTCTTCCTTCTCGTGTTCTCCGCAGCCCTTATGTCCCCCCTTACTTCTGTGATTGCGTTTGTCCCACACAGAGCAGGTGCTCAGCATTCAGGGCCGTGGAGGGCCCTTCCTCCCTTCCAGATGCCAGGGTTTCTGCGGGGTCTCCGTGCTGGGCACAGAGTAGGCACCCCGGGGCACACGTGGGACATCAGCTTTGTGGTGTCGCTCTCTCTCAGGGGCACTTGGAACTCTCCCCTCAGCTCTGCTCCGGCCTTGGCCGTCCTGTTGCTCTGTTCTTGCTCGCTGCCGCCGGCGGGCCCCGCTGACACACCACCGATGCCTTCTCTTCTCACCGGGCAGCCTCCAGGGGCTCCCTGCTGCCAGCCTTCTGCCCTGGCCCGAGCAGGGACAGCTACCCTGGCCCGGCCTCCCCAGACTCCAGTCCCTCCCCAGTCCAGGCCGCTCCCTTCAGACGTGCCAGGACACTACCCTTCTTCTGCCCCGAGGGCCGCTCCTTTCTGAACAGCTCCCCCAGATCGTACCCGTCGGCCCCCGCAGTGCCTTGTACAAGTATCTGTGCAGGAGCCCACGAGAGTGCCCCTCTTGTGTTTCCTCGGTCGGGGGAGGGGCAGGTCTTACAAGGGCACCAAGGTCTAGAACCCTCAGAGTGGTGGCCCGTGGCAGCTGACTTCGGCTTTGGCTTCAGCGGGGCTAGAGGGAAGCTTTGCCGCTGCCTTCACACCTCTGCCAGGGCTGACAACCGTTTGGGTCAGCACTGTCGCCCACGGAGCGGCAGGAACCAGCAGTCTTGGAGGGCCCGTGCCCCAGGCAAATCGCCCTAGCCCAACACAGCCCAGCCCAGCCCAGCCCCAGCCCCAGCCCAGCACAGCCCAGCACAGCCCAGCCCAGCCCAGCCCGGCCCAGCCCAGCCTGGTACAACACAGCCCCCCGCAGCCCACTCAGAGCCCCGGGCAGCCCTCTGGCAGCAAGCGCACCCTGAGGGAGGCAGTTCCCATCACCACCAGGGAAGGCTAGGAGGGTCCAGCACAGGGCCTCAGAGGGTGTCTTGTTGACAAGGCAGCGGCACGTTCACAGCCCAGAGATGTGGGTCACACCCTGAACGCAGTCACAGCCCGGCAGGTCAGGCCTTGTCCAAGGCTTCACTCCGCAGCTGCTAATCGGCCCGCAGCCCCTGCAGCCCCCCTGCTCTTGGCCCCATAGCTGCTCCCGCCCTCAGCCTGGCTAACCGCCAGTGTGGGTCAGAGGCCCGTGGGGTCCCCGGGGCCCAGAGAGGCCCTAGCCACGGCCCAGCCCAGTGGGAGCACGCAGAGCTGGGGTGGGAGGCCCAAGTCTCAATCCTGGCCCCACCTCCAAGACGCTGTGTGACCTGGGACAACTTGGAGCCTCTCTAGGCTAATGTGGGACAGGCAGCCTGTGTAAGCCAGACACAAGGCAGAAGGGAACCACCTGTGGGGCCCCAGAATGGCTCCCCAACCAAGGGGTCAGCAAGGAGAACTTTCCCTTCACTGGCCAGACACATGAGCAGACCCGTCCACAGCTAGGAGGGGTGCCAGCTCCGTATGCTCCGGGTCCAGGCAGGCAGGGGTGGGGGGGCAGGGCTGTCGAGTGACAGATGCCCGGTCTGTGTGCCAGGCTTGCTGGCCGTGGCTGGCGCTCTGGGCAGGTGTCAAGACCCCATAGGCCGGAGCAGACCCTGGACATGGCCTTCTACTGAGGATGGGGCTTCTCCTTCGGGCAGTCCTGCCCACTTCCCTGCCTGGAGGGAGGTCGGAAGCCCCCCTCCCCAAGACCCACCCTCTTTCCGACTCAGGGCCCCTTGAACTGATCCCCAGGGCTGCGGAGCCATCTCTGTGTGCGATGCCCTTGAAGTGAGGGTCTCCCCAGCGGGTTTTCACGCACTGCTACCTCTCCGCGCCTCCCTCCTCCCCTCCCCACCCCCTCCCCTTGCCTCAGAGCACCACCTGTCTCTCCAGCCTGCCTCGGCAACCCCTGCTTGCCTGTTACCAGGGAAACCACCTCCTTGGCAACCAGCCGGCATCCATATGACACGTACACGCGGGAAGGGAAGGTTCCTGCCTCTCGCTTAGGCTGTTGGTGGCTCTGCTCTGACGACTCCAAGGAGCAGCATTTGCTTGTCGCCCGGGACCCAGGTGCCGGACGGAGTCTGAAGGAGGGTCCAGGCTGGGGCCGCAGAGAGGGGAGGGAGGCATCAGGGCCCCCTCCTTGACGATCATTCAACTGATGATCATTCAGCAATTATTTAGCGCCTACTATTTACGAAGCCCTGTGCTGGGCCCTTCACATGCAATATCTCATTTAATGAGGCTTCGAACCTGCAAGATCAACATGATTATTCCCATTTTGCAGATCAGGAGACGGAGAGAGGTTCAGGGTTGCCCTGGGCTGGGATGTGTCGGAGCTGAGAGCTGAACTTAGTTTTGTCTGATTTCAAAGCCTGGTTCTTTCTACCATCCTGAGGCCTCTGATCAGGCTACTCATAGGGGGGCCAAGAGTGAGCATGGCCACAAGACAAGCAACCTCATGAGCAAGGATCTCATAGTTCATATGGGGCCATTGTCCACATACGCCAAGCAAACTGTCCATTCAGTGACCCAGAGGTGAACCAGGTACAGCCTGATGAGAGACGTATGTGACCCCAGTGGGTGCCTAAGTCATCCGCGGGCACAGGCCAAGGTAGGGTGTCAAAGGAGTCCTAGAGGGGAGGAGGGGTGGCCAGGACTTTCACAGGGGAAGGAGCTTTGGCCCCGGGGGAATGAGGACAGATCACAGGGGGCCATCCTATTGGAGCCACAGCCACGGTGTCATGGCTGGGGCTGCTGGCAGCCACGTTCCTGAGGGTCTAAGGACAGGCAGGGACTGTGGGAGTGGACCTGGGCTCCTCCTTTAGCTCCCCAGTAGAAGCATGGAGAGAGCCCACCTGGGCTGAGCACAAGGCTCTAATAGAGCCTCAAGATGGTATGAGGCAGGCGACAGGGGGCCCAGAGAGGGTCGCTTTGAGCAGGCGGGGACAGGGCAAGGAGTCTCCTCGAGAGAGGAGAGCAGGTGCAAAGGTGCAGCGGTGTGGCTGGGCGGGTGGCCGCCCCCTCACAGGCTCTGGCCCAGAGGACTCCGAATGTTCCCTGGGCTCCCGCAGGCAGGGGCGATCCACAGGGAGGCCTGGCTGCTGGGCCACCGTCCCTGCCCTTCAGTCCACTTTCCTCTGACCCTCGCCCTCTCCTGCAGGCCCTACAGTGCGGAGACACTGAAGTCTACTCCTGCATCCAGAACGAGGCCAGCAGGCTGCCGCCCACCCAGAGCCTCCTCTCGCAGGTATGTCCCGGCCCCTCTCCTGGTCTGTGAGGCAAACAGGCCCACAGGAGGGAGCCACCTGCAGCTGAATCCCAGCACTCTCCCCTAGGCAGGCGACCTGGTGGTTAGGGGGACTGGAGGGTTGGAAGCCCTGCTCCATCCCTTCCTAGCGGTGCAGCGCTAGCGATGGGCTCCCTCTGAGCCTGAGCGCCTCCTCCGTAAACCGAGGAACCTCACAGCCCCTCTGCCCCAAGATCTGCCAGGAAGGTTAAATGTCGTCCTGGGACCAGTAGGCCCTTGGGCAGTGTGAGCAGTGTCTACACTGGCCAACCAGGCAGGGCGTATTGCTAGGCTTCTAGCTGTCCCCAGGCTGACACCGGCTAAAGTGCGAAGCTAGGGTCTGGGCTGGTGCCAGCCTGGGCTGGCCTGGTCAGGGCTCTGTTGTCATCATGATGGGGGCCAAGTCGTAGCACCTGATCATGATTCCCTCTTAAACCTCAGTTTGTTCATCTGTAAAGTGGATGAGTAACATTTTTCTGCAAAACCAGCTGCGCTGAATTTAAATGAATTCTGGGTTAAATAATCTATGACGCTACAGGAGCCCACGGGTGGTGGGCGGGACCATGGACACCTTGAAAGAGGTGTCAGGAAGTGAGGGGCCAGTACTTGGCCTTCCCCAGCTCAGGGGGCCCAGGCTGGCATTGTTTGTTGACTCTCCTCTTCTCAAAGCCCTTTCTATACTCAGCCCTGAACTTGGCCCTGACTGGAAGCAGGGCTTCCCCAGGCTGAGACCCCCAAGGATGTCTCGGCCATCCTAGTCACTGTCCGCCCTGTGCCGGGCCCTGAGGGTCTGGCCGGGACAGTTGGACGTGGCCCTGTCCTCTGGGAGCCTCAGGTCTGCAGGAAGAGACGTTGACCTGACAAACAGAGACGTTGGCAGCCCCCTGTGAGGGGTGGGCTGCGGGGAAGCTGGGGCTGGGGGAGGGGGCACTCAGGGATGCTGAGCCAAACTTGCAAGGTGAGTAGGAGGTAGTGGGGGAGCAGCTGGGGGTGGGGGAGCCCCCCAGATAGCGGGGAGAGCTTGTGAAGAGGCCTGAAGGGCTGGAGGGCAGGGAGCAAGTGTGGGTGGCATGGGGGGAGAAGAGGTTGGCGGGGTGGCCGTAGGGACAAGGACAACCCTTCCTGTCAAAGCCACGCAGGAAGCTATGTGTTAACTTCTGACTAAAACTGAATTAGTGCAACTTTGTTCTCTTCCTATTGCTTTTTCTTTCTTTCTTTCTTCTCCCAGGAGAAACCGCAAAGATTTACGGATGACAGTGAATTTAACATGGTCTATGAAAACCTCTAGAACGGGAACCACTGGCCTATTGGTCTGGGCCTGGATCCAGGGCCCCATGCAGCCCCTCCCTCCACAGAATTGGCCCCACACCAGGAGCAAGGTCCCAGGGGTGCCCCATCACCTCGTCCCCACATTCGAGGCACTTCAGGCCTCGGTCTGCCCCCTACCCCCCCATTCTGTGGCCCAGCCATACCCACTGAGCATCTCACATCTGGCCTTTGCCCGGGCTCTTCCCTCTGTCCGCCAGCCCTCCCTCCATCACCATGGGCTCTCTGGGACCTCCGCATCCCCAAGCCCTCCGCACTTTCTCAGGATCCACAGGCTCGCTCACCGCCAGCCTGCCCTGCACGCAGACTCTAAGGCCAGCCATGGGCAAGGGACCCTTGTCCCTGCTGTGAGCACGAGCATCAGTGGGGACACCTAAAGGACCAATTACACAAATGCCCCCTGCCCAGCTGGGTTGAAGGCACAAGGCAGCCGTGCAAGGTGGGGCAGGGGGCTGGGGCGGGGGCATGGGGGGGGTGGGCAAGAAGGGAGCTGCTCAGAGGCTGGGCTGGGCTCAGGGACAGGCCAGGGAGGCGGCTGAGTGGAGGTCATCAGGCTGGGGGCCTGGAGCCAGAGGGCGAGGAAGGAGATCTGACATTCTTGGGACAGGGGACAGGGAGATGCTGGCCAAAGAGGCTGAACTGCCTGAAGCGCTCCCTCCCCCCAGCAAGGACCCTGAGGTGGTTTCCCATCAGCCTAGCCATCTGCACTCCATGCTTGGTCACCCCGTCCAGGCCTCAGCTGCTCCTCCTTCCCCAGAGATCCCATCTGGTGTACCTGGACCCCACCCCACTCCTCTCTGGTCTGCCTCCTTCCCCTGGCCCAGGCCTCTGAGGAGCCCTTCTCCCATGATCTAGCCGCAGGACTTGGTGCCTGGGGCTCCTCCAGCAGGTGGCCAGCTGCTTGGTGGTGCCGGAGCTCAGACCCTGTCCAGACGGGGGCCCCTCGGGGCACGGAGCCATTCTGCAGCCCCCAGTGCGAGTTCCTCCCTTTCAGTAGCCCTGCTGGAACCCGTTTCATAGGCAGACAGGGCTGAGGGGTGGGGAGTCACCCAGGCTGCGGGGTTCGGCTCCTTCCCTCCCCTGCTCTCCCCTACCCCCGCCCCTCTGCCACTGCCTTCTACTCTTTCATTTGTAAAACCCTCCCTCCCACCCCCAGGCTGCCCCAGAGGTCCTTGAGGGGCCCTTGCCCACAAGCATGTACAGTGACCATGAGGGGCCCAAGGCACAGGCCCTGACCTTGGCCCCTGAGCAGTACTGGGTCACCCAACTGTGGGCATCCAGATAAAACATCTACGGGATGCAGGTGCCTGGGGGGCACAGTTGGTTAAGAGGTTAAGCCTCTGACTCTTGGTTTCGGCTCAGGTCGTGATCTCAGGGTCGTGGGATCAAGCCCCGCGTCGGGCTCCTTGCTCATTGTGGAGTCTGCTGAAGTTTCTCTCTCGGTCTCCCTCTGCCCCTCCCCCATGCGCTCGCTCTGTCTCAAATCAATCAATCAATCTTTAAAATAAATAAATAAAAACCTGCATGGGATCACGTCCCTCCTCGTGCTCCGCTGTTCCCACCGTCCCCAGTTCCCCACCTCACTGGGAACGAAATCCTAACCCCTTCCTGAGGCCTGTGAGGCCCTTCAGGACCAACCTGCCACCCTTCTGCACACACAGCCACTGCCCCCATAGTGGCCGAGTCTGGCCGGGGGCAAGACGGGGAGGGTGCTGAGGTGTCCAAGGGGCAGGCAGAGAGGCAGGGAGGAGAAGAGAGAGGAAGGTCAAGCTGGAGGGGTGGGGTAAGAGATATCCCGGGACTCCCAGTGTGGAGCGAGGACGATGGAGCACCTGTCCCTTCACCTCCAGGGCTGAAAGCCCCACGAGCTGGTGCAGGGGTGGGGGGCAGGGGGGTGGCAGATTCCCACAGGGGGAGCAGGGGACAGTAGGGAGGAGAGGGCTTCGAACTGAGCTCCTTGAGGGCAGGCCTATGTGGACTCTGGACTCTGAGCAGGCGAAGGAGGGAAGGACGGAACTTGGGAGCCCTGTAGGGCTGGGGGCTGCTGAGCTTTCTGGAACCCCAGCTCTGTCTCCCAGCAGCCGTGCCCTCCTGAACCCTGGTTGCGGGGATAATCGAGACCTCTCAGAGCGGCTCAGAGAAGACAGATGGGGAACTCTCGCTCAGCGGGTGTGCATTTTCCTCTCGGCTTCTCCTCCAGGAAAAACAGGCGATGGCAGAACAGTGCGGAGGGGGTTCACTAAACAAGGGGCCCCGGGCTCTGTCGCCCCAACGGGGAGGAGGATCTGAAGAGGAACAGGTCAGGCCCTGGTGAGGGGAGCCTTAGACCCGAAGGCTGGATGGCAGCATCCCCAACGGTGGGTCCCAGGCCTAGGGCCGATAGAAGTCCCCTGCGGTCCTGGAGGGCCAGGCCCTGGGCACCACTCCTTCCCACCCCGACCCTGCCCCAAGGTACCCCCTCGTCCCCTCGGAGGGGCAGTCGGGCCTGGCCTGCCTGGCCCTGACCGGGATTTCCTCCCGGCTCTCAGCAGGGCCTGCCTGCCCTCCCGGGTCACCGTCCGCAGAGCCTTGGGCTCCTGGAACCCGTCAGCTGCTTCCGACACCCTCCACCTCCAAGGGCTTCTCTGGGGCAGCCCCTCAGACGGGGCCTGCCCTGCCCCTTCCCTCCGGCTTCGGCCAGCAGCCCCCCTCCTGCTCCTGCTCCGCTCAGCGCTTGCTGGAGAAAATCATCCCTGAAAACCAAGCCCAGGAAACACAAAATAGGTGTGGGAGCGGCGGCCCCTCCTCGACAACAATTTCCAGAGGATTCTGTGGAGCAGAGTTTCCATGGGAACACGTGCACTTCCACACAGAACCTCGGCAGGGCTGGGGTTCCCCCTCACAGCCCAAAGTGCAGGACCAGGGCCCCGGGGGCTTCGGCCCCGCACGGCCACGGTCGTGGCCCCCCACCCTCACCAACCTGAAATCAAGCTACTGGCAAATCTGCCTTTTTCTTTTCTTTTCTTTTCTTTTTTACTTCTAATTTAAAGGCGCACTCCATTCTAAGGATGCCTTTGGGATTTCCAGGATGGATTTTTATATAGCTCAATAGTTTTCTTGGCAGACCGCTCAGCCGGAAGAGGTGGGCTGTGGCCCCAGCCCAGCTAGGCTGACAAGGCGGCGTCTCTCTGTCCCTCTTCATGCCAGGGGACATCCCTTACCCACCTGAGGCGCTTCCTCCCACCCGGATTCAGGCTCCACGTGTCGGGGGCACCAGCAGGAGGCGCTGGACCACCTTCCTCACCAGGCTGCTTCCTTGACCTGCCGTCTTAATTTACCACCTGCGAGCCTTGACCGAGTGCAGGTTGGGTCCCTATCTGCACTCGGTATTTTGCATGTGTTTATCTAAGCGGGTGCCGCAGATATAACGGGCATCACGCAGGAGATCAAATTTCTTTTCTTTTTTTTTTTTTTTTTTTTTAAGATTTTATTAATTTGACAGGCAGAGATCACAAGTAGGCAGAGAGACAGGTGGACAGAGGAGGAAACAGGCTCCCTGCAGGGGAGAGATCCCGATGCAGGCCTTGATCCCAGGACCCTGAGACCATGACCTAAGCGAAAAGCAGAGGCTTTAACCCACTGAGCCACCCAGACGCCCCCGGAGGTCAAATTTCCTCTCCTGCCAGTCGCTGCCTCCATCCCAGGCCCCTCCAGAGGCCACCCCGGGGTCATTGGGGTGTGTTTTTTTTTTCAGGCTGTTTTCATTGTGTCCACAAACAAATATGCATAAATATGGACATATAAACTCTACAGTGATTGCGGGGGGTTCTGAAAGCTTAAATGGGATCGTTCTGTAGGTGGTGTCTGTGCTGGCTTTGTTCATACAGCCCCACGTGGTGGGGATCTGCCCGTGACAGCACACCGAAGCTGCCAGACTCCTTAATTACAGCAAAGGATTCCGCAGCACCCATGGACCCTAATTTACCCAGAGCCCTATAAATGGCCTTTTCAGTTGTTTACAATTTCCAGCCTCACAGAAGGTGCTGCAGGGAACAGTCTTGGACATAATCTGCAGAACTTTCTCTGTGGGAAATGACAGAAAGGACTCGCTGGGGCCCCGGGTGTGGACATTTACTATTTTAGCAGATGCTGTCAAGTAGGCACTCAGAAGGTTTGTACGGGTTTCCATTCTTTAAGGCTTCTATCTGCACTATCTCATCTAATCCTGAAAACCCCCTGCGAAGTGGGGGACGGGGGGTTTGTCTCCCCATCTTACCAAAGCAGAAACTATAAGAGAGAGAGGCTGAAGGTCCTGTAGCCCAGAAGGGGCAGCCCTGGGCTGGCTCCTTGTGTGTGGTTTTTGGGCTCCATGGGTCAGATCGGGGAGGGGGAGGGGAGGGGGTTGCACAAAGTGCAGGATTGTTGGGGGGTGGGGCGGGGGTCCTCCTTCCCTGCCTTTGGTCTATCTTCTTGAGGAAAGGAAGGCAGGTCTGTAGAGGTTGGTGGACCTGGGCCCGCCCAGCAGACAGCACGCACTGTGGGGCCTGGCTTCAGGCAGCCTAGACATTTGGATCCCTAGACTCCCCTGAAAATTTCTGGGCACAACACGCCTGGAGGTGTGAGCCGCCTCTTGGAAGCTTTCTAATCCGGGGTAATGCTGCTGTAATTGACAGTGGTTTGCATTTACAACCCTCTTGTTACCTGAAAATCTCCTCGCGGTGGCTGTATCTGGAGAGGGTTTAAGTTTACCACTTTGTGGACCTTGAGGGGCAGAAGAGAACAGGCGTTTTCTCTGTGCCCCTTCGCCCACCCCATTCCGATCCCCCAGTGAGTGCCGCAGGCAGGCCCGGGGGCCCCAGGCTGGCTGAGCTCATGGCCTTGGTTCAGGGCACAGCCCTGTACCTGGCTCCCCATGGGAGCCCCAGGTTGATTAGGGGGTCGTGTTTCTCCCCAATTCTCCCTCCTTCCTGGGTCCAGCCCACTCATCTCGTCTCCCTTCAACCCCCTCTCCTGCTGGCCCTTCCCAGTCTCTGATCTTTCTTTCTTTCTTTCTTTTTCCTTTTAAAGATTTTATTTATTTATTTGACAGAGAGAGAGAGAGAGACAGTGAGACAGTGAATACAAGCAGGGGGAGTGGGAGAGGAGAAGCAGGCTTCCTGCCAAGCAGGGAGCCCGATGCAGGGCTTGATCCCAGGATCCTGGGATCATGACCTGAGCTGAAGGCAGCTGCTTAACCACTGAGCCACCCAGGCGCCCCACCAAACTGATCTTTCGAAAGCACAGATCTGACCATGCCTCTCCCCTCTCAAAACCCTGTAGTACCTTACATTTATTCATTGCTACAAAGGGGCCACGATAACGCAATAGGGGCAAAAACAGGCTTTCAACAGGTAATGCTGGGAGATACGGACGTTCCCATGCAAAAGGATGAAGCCAGACCCCTACCTCACACCCTGTACAGAACCACACAGTGGCTTCCACCATCCACGGGTTGGAGCCTTGACTCTTCAGCCCTGTGCTGAGAGTGGGAAAAGAGACAGATGCTTCTGGGGCACCTAGGTGGCTCAGTCGTTAGGCATCTGCCCTCAGCTCGGGTCATGATCCCAGGGTCCTAGGATCGAGTCCCGCATCAGGCTCCCTGCTCTGAGGGAAGCCTGCTTCTCCCTCTCCCACTCCCGCTGCTTGTGCTCCCTCTGTCGCTGTGTCTTTCTCGGTCGAATAAATAAATAAAATCTTAAAAAAAGAGAGAGAGAGAGAAAGAGAGACGTATGCTTCTGTCCTCATGTTGTCCATCAGCCTCATTTCTGACCCGCTCCCGCAGGCCCGGACACAGCTGCAGTTCACGGAGCTGCAAAGCTCTGAATTGTTCTTCTCCCATTTTCTCTGTCCCAAGGCCCTTCACTCCATTCTTTGCCTGAGGTATTCCTGCTCAAAAGCCACTTCCTCCATGAAGCCTTCCTTCAACCCCCGCCTCCACCGAGCAGTTCCTGCATTTCTCACTGCTCTGACCTCCTTGAGTTGAACTGGGTCACACACACCCATCCCCCGCAGCAGGCTCTGAACTTCCGGAGCTCGGAGCTCGGAGAAGAGGCCGCGTGTATCTCCTCAACTCA